GGAACCACAGGCTGCCCTGTCACTGACTGCCACCCTTTAAAAAAATATATATGGTTGCATCAAGCAGTAATTATGGATTGCTCCATTCTCACTGGTGATGGGGGAGCTTCTGTCACTTGGAAAAACTGTTCAGGTCTCTGTGGGTGCTTAATATCTAAATAGGTGCACACAATGGGGCCGCTTGTACCGGGGGGGGGAGGTTTGTTAGCTCAGTGGTTTGAGCATTGGTCTGCTAAACCCAGGGTTGTGAGTTCAATCCTTGAGGGGGCCATTTGGGATCTGGGGCAAAAATTGGGGATTGGTCCTGCTTTGAGCAGGGGGTTGGACTAGATGACCTCCTGAGGTCCCTTCCAACCCTGATATTCTATGATTCTATGGCTTGTAGGTTAGGTGAAGCAAACTTGCCCACCACCTCCTGGCGATCTTTTCCTTTCTAACCAGACTGCACAGAATCTGTGACAATACTACAGTGAGACAGGGTCATAAACATTGGGTGTATCTACATGGCAAAAAAAGCTGTATCCTTTACTCAGGTTAGCAAACTCAGGGTAAAATAGCAGTGAGGACACACAACTCGGATTTTAACTCGAGTTACCAGCTCAAGTTCAACCCACAGGCTTTAACTTGAATTGCTAACCGGAGTTAAAAGCTGAGTTGCGCAGCTTCGCTGCTATTTTAAGCTGAGTTACCTAATGTGGGCTAGTGAACCTGGGTTAAGAACACACCTTTTTCTGCAGTATAGATACAGACCCTTAAACTGCATGCTCTTTGGGGCAGGGGCAACTTTGTGTTATATTTGTGTACAGCACCTACCACAAGGGGTCCCTGATTCCTAACCGGGGCCTCTAGCCACTACCACAAATACAAATAATAAACCAGAATAACAGGAAGTATACATGTGAATACAGATGCAAAACCAAGGGGTATTTTCATCCTAAAGCATTGATTGGAAGTCTGGTCTAATACCACATGGGGGTCGGAGCAGGACAAACGTGTCTTTAGACATCTTTCCAGCATTCTCAGTCTAGTAGCAAAGACTTTGGAAAGAAATAAAATCAATGAGTCATTAATGATTAAAAACACTTTGCTACAAACATCACACTGCATCAGGGAGGAGGCTGGGACTGTTAGGAAACCAGCAGGGCAGCCATATCACCAGGATCTGTTTGGGAGAGGATGCTATCGAATACACAACAGGCTGATTTCAAAAGTTCAGAATGAAGCAGAGTGCCCCATATTTGTGTTGAGAGAAAGCAGACCTGCTGGGACTACGAATGTGACATTCTCCAACTCATAAGACGGACACAGAACTAAAGACAGTGGCTGGAAAAATCAAAACACGGTGAGGGAACAAACTTACACTTTCTCCACCATTTCAAATGATGTAAGCTGGACTCTCTCTATACGCTGTACATTCTTCATGGACCAAAGCATAAACATTTCCAGCAAATGCACTGAATATAGATTTGCTGGGCTAGGGGTGCTGCTTCCTTGAGTTTTAGTTCAAAGAGTAAAACAAACAAATAGACAGCATGACCTCTCCTCTCTCCTAGCACGTGCACCCCTAGGACACAGTGCTTGTTACCAAGAGTGAAAGGCTTTCTGAGAGCTTCTTGTTAGAATACTGGTAGCACATCTCAGTATTAATTGCCATCTGCACATGAAGGGACAGCAAGAAAAGTAAATATTGTACCTAGCTTTGTATAGGTGAGGTCCACTTTTTAAAGACGTGTTAGTTGTTTATCCTCAATGTTTTGGAGGGAAGTTGAAATATTCTAGGTGAAGCTTCTAAATCCTATAAGACATTTGCTTATGAACAACAAAGGTTTGGACTTTAATTAAAAAGATTTTCTTTTTAAAGAATTGTATAAGCACCAAATTGTAACACTTCAACCTGGCTTGCCGTCACCTCTCCCATTCCAAGGACCACAAGGTGAATTTCACATGCAAGAAAATCACACTCCCTTAGCATTTAGAACTCAGACTAATTGACACTGACTATTATTTACATGCATTCGATTAAAAACTCCTAGTATCTTGGTCACCAGTTCAGCAGCCTGTCTGTGAGTGCAAAGCATTTGAGATGTTGATTTAGTTTATCAAATATTAATAATGCCCCTCAATGAATACATTATTTAGACTCAGGCTCTATGCTCTAGCAATCTTGACATCTTTACATAAAAAGTTATAGAGCAATAGGACACCAGATGGAACTAGATAAACTAGTCAGTGCCAATGCCCGTCAATATTTTACACTCTATATACTTCTTTAACACCTTTTACAGACCATTTACACCAGTGGTGGGCGGCTCCCAGCCCGCCAGCGAATTACCCTGACAGGCCACGTGCAGCCTGCGGGCTGCAGGTTGCACACCACTGGTTTACACTAACCACTTTTGATGGTACACAGTTTGTAACTACCCCTTGCACCTAACAGAACCCTCAAAATTCCCAGACCCAGTACTTCTTCACGCCCCTTTGAAAATCCAAGAGAGTTAAGCACCCAGATAGGATATGTCTACGCTGCACAATTAACCTGGATTCTAACTCAACTTCCCTACCATCCATGCAGAAAAACCTCTGAAAGAAAGAACGAAAGAAAGAAAATTCTCACATAATCACATGACTCCAGGAGCTGGGGCTTGAAGAAAAACACCAAATATCGTAAGAGTTGGCAACACTGCAATTTGTATTTTAACAAATTAGCAGTTCAAGGTGAACCGTAAAGGGAAACTTCGGATTAATCTAGACCAACTAATATGCATTAAAATACAACTTGCCCTCTCTACACTAGAGGTTTAAAATGTGTTAGTTAAAACATCTAAGCTAACAGGTTTTACAAATACACCTTTCATCGTAATCTAAACCGGGCTGAAGCACACAGCATTTCTGTTCCCTTCAAGTCATACAAAGGTCATCATTAGCTCCTCACTGAGATCCCCTCATTTCAGTCTTGAGTTCCCATGGCTCTCTGTATAGCCATGGTCAACAGATTAATTCTGGCTGCTCTGTACTATTCATTCTCCACACGTGGAAGAATCCCTGTGTCCCCTTCCTTTTTTAATCAAAGCACGACCACCAATGAGCACATCACACCACATGCAGAATCACTGATTTCCTGCACTGTGCTAAAATGCCTTATTTCAAAACCCAGCTGTCTGTCTCTAAAGTGCCTGTCATTATAGCCTTTGGGCACCAATGTTACCTCTATCTATTAATTCAGCCCCAAATTTTGTGTTGATGGTTTTGGGTGCTCTATCCACTATAAGCCCCAAATCCTTTTCCTGATCTGTGTGTGTTGTGCTGTCTGCCCTGAGAAGCAATAACCCTTTTTTGAATTTTTGCCCTTGCTCAGGTTACTTGACATTTCTCAACATGGCGTAGCAATAGCCATTTACCTGCCTATAATCCTAGTCTATCCAAGTCAATCTGAATCTGGTTGCCTACTGCCTCTGCACTGATTTCCTCCCTAGCTGTCCGTCTGCAACTTTCCTCCCTTTATTGCGTGCTGCTTCTTCCAGACTATTGATATGCAAACAGAACTAGGCCTGAATGCACTGATTTACCATTCCAATCCACTTGCCGTCCCGCTTACCGCTCATCACTGCCCTTGAGAAATCCCCCTGGCAAAGACACTGAAAGGGGTGAATTTAGTATTGAATGGCCTGTCTTTACCCTCCATCCAGTTCCTTATCCACACAAGTAGATTCTTATCCACTCCCAGTATCATACATGCTCATCTTTTTCAGTAGTTATCTGTGCGTTATATCAGAGCAGCAAGGAATCCTCTGCAATGTCTCATCCCATGGAACCAAACTATATTCAAATTTAGACTCAGACAAAATCATGTAATATAGAAGCAAACTGCAGGATGGTAAGGAGGGGCCCAAAATATAGCCTTAAGAATGCAAGCAGTCCTCCCAGAAGAATATTTCTCACTTGTTGGAGGGTTTATCAGACCTCCTAGGCTCTGTCTTGATGGGCATAAAGGGGGCTTTCTTCAATCTTGTTTGCTCAATTGAATTAGCTTAAAGTAATTGAAAAGCCCTCTTTTAATGCTCCTTAATACACAAGCTAACACATCTGAATTCATATTAGCTGAATTTATTGTAGCTTTGGGGTTGTCTACATGGGCAGAAAAGGGTGCTAGCTTAACATGATTAAAGGCTCATTGGGAGCATCCACACTAGGAAAAAAGGTGTAGCACCTAACATAGACAAGGCAGTTGGTAGTTTTCATGCGTGTTAGCGGATAAGCAAACCCAAGGCATCCCCACAGAGTTTACCGTGACATGCTAACATGTGCGAAAACTACCAACTGCTTTGTCCACATTAGGTTTGTTTACCACGTTAGCTAACATGTGGTAAACAAACAGACAAAAAGAAAAGGAGTACTCGTGGCACCTTAGAGACTAACCAATTTATTTGAGCATGAGCATCCAGGGTGAGAAAACCTGGATTTGTGCTGGAAATGGCCCACCTGATGATCACTTTAGATAAGCTATTACCAGCAGGACAGTGGGGTGGGAGGAGGTATTATTTCATATTCTCTGTGTATATATAAAGTCTGCTGCAGTTTCCACGGTATGCATCCGATGAAGTGAGCTGTAGCTCACGAAAGCTCATGCTCAAATAAATTGGTTAGTCTCTAAGGTGCCACAAGTACTCCTTTTCTTTTTGCGAATACAGACTAACACGGCTGTTACTCTGAAACAAAAAGACAGAACACCTTTTTTTCCCCTAGTGAAGACTAAAACCTCTGAAGCTGGATTAACTGGCCACATTTTAGCCTAGAGCGGGGCTAACGTGGCTGCAAACACACCCATTTTCTCCTGTGTAGACGAGCTCACACTGGCTTACTGTTAAGCTAACTCTACTGAGTTAACACAATTGAAGAAAACATTTTTTTTTTTGCCCATCAAGTCATGGCCTTCTGGATCACTCATGTGAAAAAGAGAGAGAGGAATTTAAAATGCAAGAGGTTTTCTTATTTTAACTTACCTGAAGCAGCTTATGTGTTAAAAGTAATGGGCCCAGGCAAGCACAGCAGAGAACTCTCCTCACTTATGAGCCAGGGATCCTGAGAGGAAATCAGCCATCAGGAGTAACTGAGAAGAGGAGGCAGAGCAGGGCAGGACTTAAAGAACGACGTCACCTGCAAAACTGAAAGTGGGAAACTCTGAGGAAGTCACTTACGTGGAGTGGTTTCTCATTCTGCCCAGAGCTCTTCCTGCATCCCTACACTCAATGGCCTATTACAGTATTGTCCTTCCAGCCAGGAGCCAGGGAACAGAAACTCTACTGGAGCCAGTAAATGCTGTCCCTTAATCCACAACACAAAGTATTTCCAGGGGCTGATGAGAGAGCACACCCAACTCTTGCTGGCTCAGGGGTTAAGAGCAAGGCTCAAAGCCCAGCAGAGTCTTATCACTGAGCCACGTTTTCAAATGTGCTCAGCATGTTGGTGCTCTGTTGAAAAGCTAGCCAGGATGTCACAACAGGAGCCATGGGTATCGAGTTCCTCGGACAGTCTGGTCCCAATGGTGGATGCTGAGCACTTGAGAATCTGGCCCTATGGGGTTGGCTTGTCATCCATCATCTGTAAAGATAAAAGCATCTCCAGAAAAAAGATCTTACTGATGAACAGATAAAAGAAGAAAAAATCATTTCTAACTAGAGCTGGTTTATTCAAAGCACAGAAACCAGACACCAATTTTCACAGAAATTTCTCTAGACCCAGGAGAAACTGCATCATTGTTTGGAATCTACTTGATTTCAAGCTTACTTAAGGGCTACTCCTCCAAGGTGAAAACTGCAGAACCTGTTGGTGACTGTATCACACAACAGATGGGCCAGCAGCTTTGTTCATCAACAGACCTTGGGAAGACATGCCTTGATTAGCAAACTGACACAACCCTGACACAGATGTCGGGGGGGGGGGGACATACCCCACTTCTTATTCATCACAGATAAAATGCACCCCTTTGGGGCTTTGCCTGGGCCCCATGTACTGTGGGGGAGCTTTATCCCAAGTTATCAGTTTAGAAAGGGCACATTTCCAAAAGACCCAGGGCTTGAGGTTCTTCTCACTCATGCTGGCGCAAATCCAGAGTATCTCCACCAAACTCAATGAACCTGCAGCTGCGCTGGGGTAAAATTGGTGAGAGCAAGAAGTGAGTCAGGTCCCCAAGCTTTAATCTTCAGCATGCTGTTGACTCTAAGGTCTAAGACCTAAAGAATCAAACTAACCTTATATTAAAACCTGTAATGAACAAAAATCATCTGCAGGAGCAGTAAAGAAGGCAGGTATCTCCTGTGTGGGTCCTGTCTGTATCATACTTGCAGCACAGTTAATTAACTAGACTCTCAACCATTAGCTACCATGTAGATGAACTACTCTACGTATAAAAACTGAGGGTATGTCTACACTCCAGACACTACAGGGGCACAGATACGGTTCTACAGATAGGTCTCAAAATGCAGCTGTAAACAGGGAGTCATTATTGAGTGTGTGTGTTTCCAATGGGTTCCCGCAGGGATCAGTTCTTGGCCCTACACTATTTATCATTTTTATTAATGATCTGGAAGAAAACATAAAATCATCACTGATCAACTTTGCAGATGGTACAAAAATTGGATGAGTGGTAAATAATGGAGAGGACAGGTCATTGATTCAGAGTGATCTAGAGTGCTTGGTAAACTGGGTGCAAGAAAACAATATGCGTTTAAATATGGCTAAATGTAAATGTATCCATCAAGGAACAAAGAAGGTAGGCCATACTTACAGGATGGGGGATTCTATCCTAGGGAGTGGTGACTCTGAAAAAGATTTGGGGGTTGTGGTGTGGTGGATAATCAGCTGCACATGACCTCCCACTGTGCTGTTGTGGCCAAAAAGCTCATGTGATCCTGGAATGCGTAAACAGGGAAATCTCAGGTAGGAGTGGAGAGGTTATTTTACCTTTGTACATGGCACTGGGGCGACCCCTGCTAAAATTCCGCATCCAGTTCTAGTGCCCACAATTCAAGAAGAATGTTGACAAATTAAAGAGGGTTCAGAGAAGAGCCACAAGAATGATTAAAGGATTGGAAACCCTGCCTTGAGGTGACAGACTCAAGGAGCTCAATCTATTTAGCTTAACAAACAGAAGATTAAGGGGTGACTTGATTACAGTCGATAAGTACCTACACAGGGAACAAATATTTAATAATGAGCTCTTCAGTCTAGTCGAGAAAGGTATAATACAATCCAATGGCTGGAAGATGAAGCTAGACAAATTCAGACTGGAAGTAAGGTGTAAATTTTTAACAGTGAGGGTAATTAACCATTGGAACAATTTCCCAAGGGTTGTGGTGGATTCTCCATCACCGACAATTTTTAAATCAAGATTGGTTGTTTTTCTAGAAGATCTGTTCTCTGAATTATTTTGGAGACATTCTCTGGCCTGTGTTATACAGTAGGTCACACTAGATGATCACAATGGTCCCGTCCAGCCTCAGAATCTATGAATCCCAACCTGTATGGCTTGCCACAAGGTATAAGTCACTGCAGAACAAGCCTGCCTTTCAGTGCTTAGGTTGGTGCTAAATACTGATTTCTGCCCCCAGCCTCAGCACAGGCTTCATTACTCTAGACATTTTCCCCTAGAGTTAACGGATTGCCATTTAACTTGAGGTACTTAACATGTTTGTAAAGTCTGGTGTGGACACTGCTCACGTGTTTGGTGTAGATTACAAATGCTTATTCTTTACGTAGGGTAGATCAGACATGTCCTGTTTTCTGAGCACAAAGCTCACACAAGAAAGAACAAACCACGTCTCTTGGCCACAACACAATTCCCCAATCCCACTCAGTTACTTCGCTAAGGTGCTTACCTCCCGTGTAAAGTGCTGGGAGATCTACTAAGGACAAGCGCTATATAAGAGCTAAGTGTTATTGTTATTATCTGGCAATACAAACTGATCATGGGATGACGGAGAAGGATCTGACAGTCCCGGCTTTACCATTCCAGTTGCAGGATGTAAGGGCTACTCCTCCTACGGGCTAGCCTTTACAAACCAAACTGCTAGCCTCTAGTCTAAAAATCTATATCAGTTTCCAATATTCTGCCCCGATTTATATGCACTCCATCCCCATTGATGTCAGTGGGGTTACATATGGTATAAATCAGGGGAGAATCTGGTCCCTAAACTTCTTGGAGCTGGGAGGGACAAAGGGGGAGGAAAGACTAAACTATGAGAGTGATCTAAATAACTCATCATTTCCCCTCCGCCCTCCATGTCCCACTGATGTGTCTGTAGATATTAAGCCAGTGCCCTCAGAGGAATAATACTCAATAGTTTCTCCAGATAATTGTATATGAAATAATCCCTCAGCCAAGATCCTTGGAGATTTTTCCCACAGTATGTGTACATTTTTATTTGCAAGACTAAACTATATATAAAGAGTTCATGGGGAAAGAGCCCTTGGTTACAACCATGCAGTGCCACATCAATCAACCACTGTAGCTGAAGGCAGAATTTGGTGTATTAAAATATGGAATTGCCTGGATACTAACTCTTAAATCACACAGCAAGATTAATACCTGATCCCCTTTAAAAGCCCTACGGTTATTACTCACATGAATAAGAGCAGGATCAGGCCTCTAGACTGCAATTGTGACTGAATATGATGTATATGGTCCTTACTTGAGCAAAATGCCTATTGAAGTTAAGAAGGCTTTCCCTGAGTAAGAAATTCAAGATCTCACCTGACAAGCATTTAGATTGAGCGTTCCACCTTCGAACTATTTTACAAAGAACTGCTAATGTTACCATCTGCGTAACACTGCCACAAACGTCATCCCACATGGGGCTGAAATTCCTTCTGCCACACTGCAGTATTTTGAATATAGGATTAAACCAGAAAGCTGTGAAATGTTATAGCATATACTACTGCATACCTGTAACGTCAGGTGCAGCCAGGCTGTGGGAGGATACTGATCATTAACTGTGCAGCAGCTATTTGTATCCAGTTGATATATAAAATATACAATAGTATTATTATCCTGTCTGTTCTCCTGTGCATGTCCTCTTGTTCACTGCTGCAACTGTTTATTCCTTACTTCAGTGCAACTTGTATATTCTGAAACTATATTCAAAAAAAAAAAAGAAAAAGAAAAGAAAAGGAGTACTTGTGGCACCTTAGAGACTAACCAATTTATTTGAGCATGAGCTTTCGTGAGCTACAGCTCACTTCATCGGATGCATACCGTGGAAACTGCAGCAGACTTTATATATACACAGAGAATATGAAACAATACCTCCTCCCACCCCACTGTCCAGCTGGACAGTGGGGTGGGAGGAGGTATTGTTTCATATTCTCTGTGTATATATAAAGTCTGCTGCAGTTTCCACGGTATGCATCCGATGAAGTGAGCTGTAGCTCACGAAAGCTCATGCTCAAATAAATTGGTTAGTCTCTAAGGTGCCACAAGTACTCCTTTTCTTTTTGCGAATACAGACTAACACGGCTGTTACTCTGAAACCTATGTTCAAAAAGAAAGCTTGGGAGAAAGTCTTAGTCTTGCATTTGGTAGCAGAGCAAGCAAAAGGCATCTTCGCTCAATGTGATGCCTGTATTTCTTTACTGGGACATTTAGAGTTATGAATCTGTGTAATCTTTGGGGATATTTAGAGCTATGAATCTGATGACTAATTGCCATCATGTGGTGAGGGTAGCTGGCAAACACCACTTCCTTCAGGGATTTTGGATCCGAATTTGATAAATTCCCTAGCATTTCAGACTCGGTGCATTTCAAACTACTGAACGTGAGTGTTGAGTCAAAACAAAATCTTCATGGATGGAACCTTTATGTTCTGAATTCACTATCTCTGACAAAGTCCCAGTACATTTCATCTCCCAAAGTGTGTCACAACCTCCAACCCCATTTATGACCCAGGGGGCTCTCCGGTCCTTCAACATCACCTTTTTCTGATCAACATAACCTTGACTGTCGAGGCTGCTGCACCAACTCAGACTTTAAGGCCAGAAGGGACCATCGTGAACATCTAGTCCCACCTCCTGCACATTGCAGGTCACAGAACCTCACCCACCCACTCCTGTAATAGATCCATACCCTCTAGCTGAGTTACTGACAGTCCTCAAATCATGATTTAAAGACTTCAAGTTACAGAGAATCCACCATTTACACTAGTTTAAACCGGCAAGTGACCCATGTCCCACCCTGCAGAGGAAGGAAAAAATTTAAAAAACAGGATCTCTGCCAATCTTAACCCAGGGGAAAATTCCTTCCCGCCCCCAAATATGGTGATCCGTTAGGCCCTGAGCATCTGGGCAAGACCCTGCAGCCAGACACCGGGGAAAGAATTCTCTGTAGTAACCAGGAGCCCTCCTCATCTAAACTACTGCCAAGCAGGCAAAGGGAAAGGAAAAGGATGCCAGTTGATACACACTCAGCAACCAAAGAGCAGCCTGGAATCTCCTTCATTTTCATGGAACCCTTAAAAGTTCCTAGGCCCAAAAAGTAGTTTTCCCCAATGGAAAATTTGCCGACCCAACTCCCCACAGTCCCATCACCCCCACTCCAGCTC